GTGATTCTTGCCCCTTTGTTACCCGCCCCGGAGAGTGAGAGAAGGCAGATAAAGAAGTGAGGTTCTGACCCACGAAAGCTTATGCTCCCAATACTTCTGTTAGTCTTAAAGGTGCCACAGGACCCTCTGTTGGTTTTTACAGATTCAGACTAACACGGCTACCCCTCTGATACTCAACAATTAGACAGTATTTGGTCCCGCCATGCGGGCAGGGGACTGGACTCGATGACCTCTCAAGGCCCCTTCCAGTCCTAGAATCTATGAATCTATAAATTAGCAACAAATAATGGAATACACAGACCAAGCATCTTCTGCTCACCACTCCCAATAAGATGGATGTCTCCCGATGGCCAGACAGGGTCGTGTCATCTGGGCTCCGGCTTCTGCACAGTCTGGTTGTGCAGGGGTTATAAAGTTCCAGCAGCTTTGGTCTTCAGCTGTATCCCAGAGGTAAGCTCCAACAAGCTGGTTTTCTGGCCCTCATTATAAAGTTAAAACGAGACTCTCTCTTATCTATGCCTTAACCAATTATTTTACTTAAAACATCGCTATGTAGAAACCACTAACCAATCATTTTAACTATCCGGGGGGTTCACATGCCTAAGACCCTCTGCTCATTAGCTTTTGTACTTTTCAAAGTTAGTAAAAAGGTCACTTATCTTTATGCTTGTTAGCGTGCGGGACTCACCCCTGCAGCACCTCCTGCTGGTCGTCTCAGGGAATTAGCTCTTCCAGCATCCTGGAGCGCCCCCTGCAGGCTGGTGATCCGCCTTACCACTCGGTCCCTGTGTCCCTCCCAGACCCAGTGCCCTGTTATCTGGGGCGCCGCCCCCTGGCAGTAACCCACCAGTCTTAGGGTCTCCCCTCCGCAGGGAACCCCCACCCACTATCCCCACCTCGCCTCAGTATAGGCTACTGCCAGTCATTGTTTAGCCCCCGTGCCCTGGGGCAGACTGCAGTATCAGCCTACTCCTCACTGGCAAGGTTGGGTTTGAACCTGCTGTCTTTGCCTACCCCTGGGCTGCCCTCTGCAACCCCCAGCATTCATTCATTTTCATTCATAACAATGTCATCATTATTAAAATAGTAAAACATACCAACGTTAGGCACATTCAATAACTAGAATATGAAAGGTGTATAAATGTGCTGAAAATAGCCTCCCTCCAAAACTGGAAGAGTATCCTCTCTTCCCCCCCCCGCCCCCCCTTCCTCAACACACACATACCTCTTAAAAAGCGCCCACCAGCAAAAACAAAAGTCAGCGCCTATGAATGCAAGTGTTAAACAGTGTGTTAAAGGGAAACTGTAAGCTGACAGAAGGTGTGACTTGATTGTTCTATTACTGAAATTTCAAAGGAAGCACAGAAGGAAGTGGTTAAAAGCAATTTTAAGAATAACTTCTCTGGAACACGTCTCTACCAGCACTGGAACAAGGTGCGAGAGAAGGGGGGGCTGGAGGAAAGGCGGGTGCTCAGTGCTGCGTGAGCTGGCAGCAGGAGGAGATGTCAGGGAGAAAGCTGGAGAGTTGAGCTTGACTGAGGGAGATGGGGAGTCACTGGCTGAAAACCAGACCACAGTGAGCAGTAAATATTGACCTGCTTTGCATTTCACCTCAATCACGGCATTTGCCTACAGCCTCTTATTGTTCCTCTGCTGTACAAGAGCTAATGAAATGGCCACCAGCCTTTCTTGCAAACAAAGCTCCCGTTGATTTAAGGAAGGGACACAGGATCCTGCCCTAAATCAGCATTCGTCCCTGCTGAGGGGACGCTGGTGCTCGGGGGGGCAGTTCATGGGGAGAACCAGTGAGGGGAAAGTGGGTGCAAAGGGAAGGACATCCCTGCTCAGAGTAACAATCGCCCTGCTCCAGACCCCAGACACAGACTCTCTGCCTGTGAACCCTTCACAGTAATGGAGCCCCTCACCCCGCTGCCTGAGGTCCCAAGACCAGCACTGGCTCCCGAGACACCCCAGTAGCCTATGCCCCCCCCCCAGGATCCCACCAAAGGCTGCAGCGCTTGGGCTCTCAGGGCCCTCGGTGGGTGCTGCATAGCGCACAGGCCGGCATCGCACAGGCCTGACACTGTCGCTCTTCACTCACCAGAGGAAGCACAGGAGAGCACAGATAATCCAGAGCCCAACAGCAGAGTCAGACGCATTTACCTTCATCCTTATTCTCTGCATCAGTTCCAGCTCTCAGCTCCTCCACCTGTTACCAAAGTGATTTATCCAGTAGTGTGTATTCTGAGGAGAATCCATATTTATGGCCCGCGTTGGTTAGCCCGTAGCCCCTTTCACGTTCTAGTCCAACACATAGGGGCAGACACACAAGAGAGATGACAACCGGAGCCCACACTCAGAACGGAGATTGCAGCTTGGTGAAGATACATCCAAAGTGTTTGTCACTTAGCACAGAACTCATCAATGGCACAGACAGACTCTCCCACTCGTCACCCAGGCTCCTCGCCCAGCCCTAACGAAGGTGGGTGGCTTTAGGGTGAGGGGTGAAGTGTTGTCAGGATCAGACACCGGCTAAGGGATGGGAAACATAGGTCAGGGTTAACTGGTCAACCTTCACTGTGACAGGAGATTAACAGCAGGGGTCTCAGGGGGCCCTACTTGGTCCTGTTTTGTTTCCTGCATTTCCTAATGCTCTGGAAAGAGGGGTGAGCAGCGAGGGGGCGAAGTGAGCAGTTGACACAGAGTTATTGTGGTTGTGAGGCAGACCGAGGACTGTGAGACACTTCACAGGGCCCCAAACAAGCCAAGGGGACGGGCGACACGATGGCAAAGGAAGCTCAGTGCTGCCAAAGGCAGGGTGTTGCTCCGGGGAAGGAATGTTCTGAACTGTCACACACCTGGTGGGGTTCTGTGTCACCCAGGAAAGGGCCCTGGGTGTCAGCATGGAAGCTCTATGGAGACATCTGCTCAATGTGCAGCTGTGGCCAAAAAAGCAAATGCTGTTGGGATACATAAGGGAGGGGATGGAGAATAATACATAAGAACATAAGAATGGCCAGACTGGGTCAGACCAAAGGTCCATCTAGCCCAGTATCCTGTCTGCTGACAGTGACCAGTGCCAGGTGCCCCAGAGGGAATGAACAGAACAAGTAATCACCAAGTGAGCCATCCCATCGCCCATTCCCAGCTTCTCGCAAACAGAGGCTAGGGACACCATCCCTGCTCATCCTGGCTAATAGCCATTGATGGAACTATCCTCCATGAATTTATCTAGTTCTTTTTTGAACCCTGTTATAGTCTTGGCCTTCACAATATCTTCTGGCAAGGAGTTCCACAGGTTGACTGTGTGAAAAAATATTTCCTTTTGTTTGTTTTAAATCTGCTGCCTATTAATTTCATTTGGTGACCCCTAATTCTTGTGTTATGAGGAGTAAATAACACTCCCTTATTTACTTTCTCCAATCCAGTCATGATTTTATAGACCTCTCTCATATCCCCCCTTAGTCATCTCTTTTCCAAGATAAAAAGATCAATCTTATTAATTGCTCCTCATATGCAAGCCATTCCATAGCCCTAATCATTTTTGTTGCCCTTTTCTAAACCTTTTCCAATTCCAATATATCTTTTTTGAGATGGGGCAACCACATCTGTATGCAGTATTCAAGATGTGGGTGTACATTGGATTTATATAGAGGCAATATGATATTTTCTGTCTTATTATCTGTCCCTTTCTTAATGATGCTCAACATTCTATTCACTTTTTTGAATCCCGCTGCACATTGAGTGGATGTTTTCAGAGAACTATCCACAATAATTCCAAGGTCTCTTTTTTGAATGATAACTAATTTAAACGCTATTATTTTTCATATACAGTTGGGATTATGTTTTCCTATGTGCATTATTCTGCATTTATCAACAGTGAATTTCAATTTCATCTGCCATTTTATTGCCCAGTCATCCAGTTTTGTGTGATCCTTTTGTAGCTCTTCACAATCTGCTTGGAACTTTGTGTCATCTACAAATTTTATTACATAACTGTTTACCCCTTTTTCCAGATCATTTATCAATATGTTGTACTGGTCCCAGTACAGACCCCTGGGGGACACCACTATTTACCTCTCTCCATTCTGAAAACTTACCATTTATTCCAAACCTTTGTTTCCTATCGTTTAACCAGTTACCAATTCAGGAGAGGACCGTCCCTCTTATCCCATGACAGATTACTTTGCTTAAGAGCCTTTGGTGAGGGACCTTGTCAAAGGGTTTCTGAAAATCTAAGTACACTATATCCACTGGATCCCCCTTGTCCACATGCTTGTTGATTCCCTCAAGAGTTCTAGTAGATTAGTGAGGCATGATTTCCCTTTAAAAAAAACATGTTGACTCTTGCCCAACAAATTATGTTCATCTACATATCTGACAATTTTGTTCTTTACTATAGTTTCAACCAGTTTGCCCGGAACTGAAATCAGGGTTACCGACCTGTAATTGCTGGGATCACCGCTGGAGCCCTTTTTAAAAATTGCTGTCACATTAGCTATCCTCCAGTCATTTGGTACAGAGGCTGATTTAAATGATAGGTTTCAGAATAGTTAGTAGTTCTGCAATTTCACATTTGAGTTCCTTCTGAACTCTTGGGTGAATCCCATGTGGTCCTGGTGACTTATTACTGTTTAGTTTATCAATTTGTTCCAAAATCTCCTCTAATGACAGCTAAATCTGGGACAGTTCCTCAGATTTGTCTCCTAAAAAGAATGGCTCAAATTTGGGAATCTCCCTCATACCCTCAGCCATGACGACCAATGCACAGAATTCATTTATTTTCTCCGCAATGGCCTTATCACCTTTGAGTGCTCCTTTAGCATCTCAATCGCCCAGTAGCTTCCTGCTTCTGATGTACTTAAAAAAATAATTATTACTTTTTGAATGTTTGACTAGCTGTTCTTCAAATTCCTTTTTGGCCTTCCTAATTATATTTTTACACTTTGTTTGCCAGAGTTTATGCTCCTTTCTATTTTCTTCACTAGGATTTAACTTTCACCTTTAAATGATGCCTTTTCGCCTCTCACTGCTTCTTTTACTTTGTTATTTAGCCACGGTGGCACTTTTTTTGAAGGATTCAGGTTTGGGCAGAGGCCAAGGATGGGCCCATTACCCAATACCTCTGCCTTTGATCCCACCCTAACAAAGACTTCCTGATGGTCCAACCTCAGCTGACGGGCAGGACACAAAGTCTCTGTTTGCTCTGGGCTGGGATCCTTTTATTTGCCAGCTGGGCTGATTTGCATGTTCAGCATCCTGCCCACTCCCTTCTCACCCCCCACCCCCGAAGCCCCAGTAGGTCTATAAATACCCCGGAGAGCCAGCGCCCTGCACAGGCTGAGCTCTGATCCTCATCGCTCCAAACCAGCCACCCAGACAGACAGACAGACGGACAGGTGAGTCCCTTCCCCTTCCCGTCCTTTCTCCCTCCTCCCTGGGTGCTGGGCACTGGGTGGCAGCCGAGCCCTGTGACGGGGCCTCATGGCCGGACTTGCCCTGTGTGAGTCCCTGGGGCCATCTCTGTCCCACCCCTTCCCCCACAGCGCGGCCCCGGCACCTCGTCCCCATGTGTCGGTGCTGAGCGTCCTCTCCCTGGGGCTCTGCTCCCCACACCCCTGCACTGCCCTGCCCTACCCTGCGTGGCTGGAGAGGAGGGGCAAGGAAGAGCCGCAGGCTGACGGGCCCTTGGGAACCAGCCCAGGGAGGGGGCCCCGCACAGCTCCCCTGCCACATGGGGCCTCTGAGTTGAGTCCCCCGGGCCTGGTATCCCTCTCAGGGCCCTTCCAGACCAGCCAGGACCGTTAAAAAACAGCCCCAGCTCTGAACCGCCTCCCCGTGTAATGCCACACAGGGGAGGAGTGTCGCTCTGGGGGGTGTCTCAGGCTCTTATGGCCCCATGTTCTTGTCTTGTGTGTTTTCTCCCCAGGGGAAGCGAGAAGATGGGGCCAGTCGCCTACTTCAGCCTCTGCCTCCTCGGCTGCCTGATCTTTAACCCCTCACTGGCAGGTGAGTCCCTGCCCGGCCCTCAGAGCTGTAGTCCCCGGGTGCTGATTGTCATGGTGGGAATTGGGAAGTGAATTCATTTCCCTTGTCACTCCCAGAGCCACTGCCCATCTCCTGCTGCTGGGGGTCACTGCCCTGGGGATAGCCCAGGTGTTGCAGCCCCTCCCCAGGGAGATGGTGAGAGAAGGTGGATGAAATGCCCCCCAGGGTCGGCTCTTCCCATGAGGATTGGGTGGGGCCAGTCCCTGGGCAACGGGCGCTCAGCTCTGGTCAGCTACAGCTCCCATCCCACCCTCCCGTGGTCCCCTCCCCTTGGCCGGCCATATCCGCACGGGGTCCCTCTCCAAGGGCTGCTCATGGCTCCACTCCAGCCCCAGCTTCTCCCCCATCCAGCCTCTGATCCGGGCTGGGCTGCCCCATTCCCTGTACACTGTGCCTTTCTCCTCCAGACTGTCCCATTCCCTCCCTCTGCTGGGATACGGCTCTGCCCCATCCCTCTGTGTCCCCAGCCCTGAGCAGGGCAGTGACTTCACAGTGTTCCCATCCCCTCCGCCCCAGCCCCACAGATCCCTGCTATTCCCCCCTTTATGTCCCATCTCCCTGGGCACCTCTCTCCCTTCCCTCCTCCTTCAATCCCCCAGATCCTACCATCCAGAACTGGAACCCTGCTCCCGATTTCCTCTCTAGTCCCAGTCTGTGCCAACCCCACTGCTCCCTCAGCTTCACCCCTTGGCCCTGGGTGTTCCCTTCCTGCCCCCTGCCGGCTTCCCTGGTCCCACTGTCCCGCATGGCCCAAGGGGAGTCGGGGAGGAGCTCAGGGTGGCAGGAATTCCCTCTGCCCGAGGGCTGCAGCTGAATGGGGGCCACTGTGTCTGGCAGCTTCATATTTCCCCCCTTTCCCGGGGCTGGGAGTCCATGGGGATCCCTGGGGCAGGGGCAGGGACAGGGGCAGGGAGGGTCTATCAGCCCCCCCACAGTGCACTGGCTCCTTCCTCCCCCCAGGCAGCCATGGAGAAAGGAGCCCCTGCCCCATTCAAACCCAGAGGCCCTGCCCGGCTGGGATCCCTGCTCAGGGCTGGGATCCAGGGGCCCCGTTCTGCCGATGTGGGGTCTGGGCAAACCCAGCTTCTTCCTGCAGCACCGGGGCCTGGAGGGTCTTGCCAGACAGACACAGCCCCAAACAGGATCCCATGTTATTCGTGCTAATGGGAAAGCCACGGCTCTGCCTCTGAAACAGCCCCTAACCGCGGTGTCCTGTCCCCACCATTGCCCCCAACCCCCTCTCTCTGCAGGAGCACAGGCTGGGTCCTGTCCCAGGGGCTGGCTACTCTTCCAAGGCAACTGCTATGGATACTTCCCCCAAGAGAAAACCTGGATGGAGGCTGAGGTGAGAGGCTGGGGGCAGCGGGGCTCAGGGGTGCTGGGCTGGAGCTGGAGGCTAGGGAGGTTTAGGGTGAATATCAGAATCACTGAGCTGGGCTGGGCTGGGGAATCTGCTCCGGTGGGAGGGGTGGGAGCCCAGGGCTGCACATTTCACACTGCCCCAGACAGAGCCCTGGGAACAGGCTGTGAGGGAACAACCTGCCCTGGCCAGGCTGGGGAGCAGAATACAATGTGTAAGCAGAGTCAGGATGAGCTCTACCCTGACATCTGGTGGTGAATTATGGCGAGTGTGGAAAAGAACTCCAGGGGCTGATCTGGTTTGCATAGGCACACCCACTCGCCTGGCATTGAAACAACAGCAACTCAAAGTGGTTACTTTGGCTGGTGTGGGATCCCCAGTTTCTCTGTTATTGGTTCAGTAAGAATAAAGTTTTGTCCCCCAGGTGCTGGGGATCAAGGTCAGCGGAACTGTTGAATGACAGAATGACTGAGTGAGTCCTTCACCATTACCTAAGTAGCACTT